CAGAATGTGTTTTTAAATTCACCGACATCGTAAGTGAAATCCATGGTACGAAACAAACAGGGTTACAGGGTTTCCGCGGGGCATTAAAAAGCATTAAAAGTCATTAAATGAAATTTTCAAAAATTAAGGCCTTAAATGGCATTAAAAAGCATTAAATTAGATTGTCAGTGGCATTAAATTTTCTCAAGAAATATTCTTAAATAATTTTATTTTTTTTGTCTTTATTGTGATCTGTTGTGAAATTGTATGATAAGTACGTTTGAGTAAACACGCTGGCGGAACCATTTCGATTACTTCTGTTCCGACTCGTTTCTTGTCGAATTGTCGTAAAACCGGATGTTCGACAATAAGCTGGCGCGCTGGATCGTGAGGAGTAAATGTTTGGAAAATGGGGAAATGCAAATTCCAGCAAAAGTGGTTGGAAATCGACGAATTCAAGGTATGGCTGCAGCCCGTTAATGGTCAAGATGGAGAAGGATTTTGTACTGTTTGTAAAAAAAAATTTAAACTTGGTACAATGGGTGTGAACGCTGTGAAATCGCACATGCAGTCGGACAACCACAAAGCAGCCGTAAAAGGCAGACAACAGCTAACCGTGACTAGTTACTTTTCTGTAACTAGCAACGCGACGTCTTCTACAACTACCACGACCACAACAAGCAGCACAACTGCAGCTGTGAACCCTGCCGTCGGAACATCAAGCACGCTTCAAAAATCGTTTGGATCGCCTGCGGCGCTTCAGGCAGAGGTGCTCTGGTGTCTGAACACTGCCGTGCAGCACCACTCCTACGCATCCAATGAAGGTGTTTCGGAGTTGTTCCAGGCAATGTTTTCGGATTCTGAAATGGCTAAATCTTTCACCTGTGGAAAGGACAAGACGAGCTACGTTTTAAAGTTTGGACTCGCCCCACATATAAAAAAAGAACTGATTTCTGCAGCTAACAACGCTGGACCATTTGTGCTGATGTTTGATGAAAGCTTCAACCAGTCCACAAAAAATAAACAACTAGACGTCCATATTCGATTTTGGGAGGCTGGTGCTGTCCAGTCACGTTATCTTGGATCACAGTTTATGGGACATTCAAAGGCTAAAGATTTGCTGCACCATTTCAAAGTGAGTATGTTTGTACTTTTTGTTTATGATTTGTACTTTTTGTTTATGAAGTGATATTCCGATGAATTAAAGAGACAAGATGTGTTCATTTTGTTGAGGCTTTTTGCTTTTAGATAGTTTTAATAAGCTAATTTTGAAATTACTATAAGCAAATTTCAAATCAAACATGTTGGTGTAATGTTTTCAGGTTTTCTTTTTCATATCAAATAATTAAATTTATTTTTTTGTATTCATAGGATTGTGTGTCTGCTAGACATGAAGAACCTCCTTTCCATCAGTATGGATGGGCCAAATGTGAACTTGAAGTTTTTAAATGATTTCCAGCAAGAGCATGCTGAACTACATGGAGGCCGCCAATGAATTAATGTTGGAAGCTGTGGACTGCACACTCCGCACAATTCATTCAAGACTGGCTTCTCCACATGGAATATTGAGAAACTGTTAAGAGCAATGCACTTTCTTTTTCACAACGTCCCTGCAAGAAGAGAAGATTTTACAAAACTTACAGGCTCATCTCTTTTTCCTCTCCCATTCTGTGGACACAGATGGGTGGAAAATCTTCCTGTTGCAGAGAGAGCTATTGAAGTATGGCCAAAGCTTAACGATTATGTGAAGGCAGTCCATAGAAAAGAACTCCCAAACCCTGGAACCTCTTCTTTTGACACTATTCAAGCAGCAAATGAAGATCCCCTGATTTCAGCCAAACTTCAGTTTTTCATGGCGATCTCCAGAACGTTTAGTCCATTTTTAAAGAAATGCCAAACAGATGAGCCAGTCCTGCCATTCCTGTGCAGCGACTTGACAGAGTTGTTGATGGTAATAATCTGCTTCATTTATAGAAAGTTCTCAGTTTTAAAGTGGGTAATCTACAAATATCTGTTTTCATTTGATAGAGTCTACTGAGACGTTTCATCCAAAGGGAGCTGCTACAAGACATCACCCCCCTTCAGTTGGCCAAACTGGACACCAATGACCAGAAAAACTGGGTCAATGTGAGCCATGTTGACATAGGCTTGGGTGCTGAGTCTGCCATTAAGGTATTGTTTATTTTTTATATGTATATTTAAAAAAAAACTTAAAACAGAGCATTAATTCCCATGTATTAATTACTTGATGCTATCCCTCCTTGGTAGGCTCTTCAAAGCAAACCTAACAACAGAGTAGGTGACCTCACTGCCCTCGAATTTAGAAAGGACTGCATAAGATGCCTCTCAAGCATTGTTAAGAAAGTGCAAGAGAAGAGGCCTTTGAAATACCCCACTGTCAGGCAGATTGCATGCTTGGACCCCTCCATCATGAGCAGAGACCCAGAATGGTGCAAGGGAAAGATGAAGTCTCTAGTTCAGAGATTTCTGCAGGACAAGCAGTTGACAGGAGGGATTTCTGCTGGTAGGAATGTTATAGGGAATGCTTTAAAATAAAGGTTATGACCACCCTTTAATGCATGAGAAATATTCTCAATACATTCTAAGGTTTAAAAACAGTTTTGCTTTTTATTGTTGATCAAGTTATTTTAATGCACATATTGCATTATATATATATATATATATATATATATATATATATATATATATATATATATATATATATATATATATATATATATATATACACACACACACACACACACACACAAAACGTTTACATATCGTGTACCAATGTGATGTCTGAATAAACGTCCATCCATTTAAGTGGATTAGATTTAATTACTGCTTTTTGTGTTTGCTTGTTGCAGGTGATGCTGTTGTGCAACAGTTTGACAGCTTTCTCTCTCTGCATGGCAAAAGTGAGGAGCTCCTCTCTTTCAAACCCATGGAGCAAAGACTTGATGTTTTTCTTCGTGACGCTCTCAACCAGACTTATCCTGAGCTCTGGAGTTTCCTTCAGCGCCTGTTGCTCCTATCTCATGGGCAAGCTACAGTAGAGAGATGCTTCTCTGTGAACAGGGAAGTAGAGGCTTGCAACATAAAAGAAGAAACTGTTGAGGCCCACAGACTAGTCTGTGACCAAGTTAGAGCTTGTGGGGGGGTTCTCAAAGTTCCCCTCACAAAAGAGCTACTAGCATCTGTAGCATCAGCCAGGACTAGATATAGGATCTACCTTGAGTAAGAGAGACAAAAGAGAGAGGGTGCCATGCGTGGACTTAAGAGAAAAGCATTGGAAGATGAGCTAGAACAGCTGAAAAAGAAAAAGGAGATATTAAGGGTGGTGTGTGTCAGCCTTCAGAAAGATGCTGATCAACTAGCTGAACAGGCAGAAAACAAACCGAGCACGCTCATGGCTCAAATGATAACAAAATCTAATACTCTAAGGAAGAGATACAGGGACAAATGCAGTGAACTGACAAATGTTGAGTCAGAGCTGGAATCAAAAACTAGTGAGCTAAGGCACATGCATTAATCCTGTTGTGTGAAAAAAATGCTGTAGCATGTTCAATAACATGTAACATTCCATGCAACTATGTATTTGCTATGTTCTAGGCATACATTTTTTTGTTTATCTCAGGGTACATTATAATACACTGAGTTCTCAGAGGATTTTTTTATGTACATATATATCCGTGGATTCTCACGTGTGTTTGTTTATGCCATTAAAAAGGCTAAAAATGGCATTAAAATGGCATTAAAAAGCATTAAATTTGTTTTGCTGATTTCTGCAGAAACCCTGGGGTTAGAAAAATAGCGCTTTTAGCCCCGTTGACTTGCATTCATTTTTTCGTTCTTCCGGGATCCCGTGGTCCGTAAGTGGATGAGCGCGACTTAGGCTCCCCATAAAAGGGAAAAAAGTATTTTCTGCATAAAAGTTAAATAATTATCTCCTACTTGCTGCTTGATCATGGAAATGTAGAATTAAATCCCAATTATTAAACACTCATTAAGTTTG